GGTGCTAATTTCTGCTTCACTTTCAACTTCAACGACTGAAAAATCCACAAAAACTCTTCCCTCAACCGAAGCTGTTTTGATATTCTAATACTACGAGAAGTTTGCTATTAAACGATATTAAGCTTGCTTGCAAAACAGTTTCACTTTTGGAACAAATTTTTCAATTGAAAAAACGGCCATTACTTATTAGCCAACCCAATAATTTCCATTTTTGGTCAAGGCACCGCACACATTCATAGGCAAAGTTCGCGATTTTCAAATTCTCGAAGTTAGCGGAATAGTACCGTCCATCTTCGCCTGACACCAGCTATTTTCATACTTCCAACTTCCCTACAAACAAGTTTAAGCAGCGGAGTTGTATCTTGCTTGAAAAATGGTAGAATCCATAGTCTTCTTTGGAATTTTTCACCCTATTCACATTGAAAGGTTCATTGACAGTTTCCCGGGAATGCTTTTCCACATGGTATAGATTGTAATCCATTTCAGCGTCACTTTATCTTTTTTCGTGGAATGCTTGACCAATACCTAACTTATGCTGTAGCAGTGAGATTGCCCAGCTGTCACCGGGCGCGGCCTGGCTTCACCAGGCGGAGCGAGCTAGGATGCATAAGATGTGTGGAATGGTCACAGAGCTTGTTCTAACGAAAGTGTAGAGAAAGGTTAAAGATAGCTAGACATCAGCATAAGTTATGTATATCTGGCCCCTCACGCTAATGCCTAACTTCCAACCCTGAGAAGGCTGCGCCATTTAAATGATGGCCGCAGTTGTGATATGAGAATGAGTCAAGGTTGAATTCATCTGGTCGAGAAGTGTAACATTCAGGGCCTTCTTACCTCCGAATGAGGCACAACGGTGCATCCCTGGGCGGCAGTGAGAAGAAGAACTTCCTTTTGCTTTGCTCATGACAAAGTGGCGCTAGCAGGAAGCCTCCATATTATCACCGATAATACGCCCCCTCCTCCTCCCCCCACCCATCTAGACATCATCACATGCATCTCAAAGCAGTGGTTCTATTTTGATTCTGCTGACATCGTGATGGTGGCAGTATAGTGGTAAGAAATGGCAAGAAATGTAGCGAAGATAGCTCTATTTTTGATATGATTACCTGTCACCTGTCAGTATGTCCGTATCACTGAATGTTTAATTTGGTAGTTCGTAAGCTTCACCACCTTGAACAACGACGAAGATCGCAACGTCCCTTATCAGCCCCTTTCAGTTTTTATCACTCTTAGTCACCCGCCTGGCTCTCGAGCTTGTTCTGACTCTTCTTTTCGAATCTTTTCAGCAACTCACAGTTGTTCTCACTCAGCAAGATCGTTCATGTCCCATACCCGGTGTTATCTTAGAGTGACATTCCCCCTTCTCACGCCCTTTATCCAATTTTATCTGCTGCGAAAAGTTCATGTAACCCATCAGTGATGCTTCATGCCATGCTGTACATCATATGTTGGAACCAATGTCTGACTGCTACTGGGCGCTATGAATTTCGTGACAAACAGACGGACCCGCACTCACACACTTGTTTGGCGAATTGTATTTAGTAAAATAAATGTTACCTTTCAAGATCACCACTTACACACCGAAAGGGCTTGCTCGAAGTCGACGAGAAAAAGAGCGTTGTGAACAGTTAGCCTCAGGTCGTTCTCAAGATAATATTTCTGGTCGTCTGCGGTCAATCATTCCAGCTGTAACTACAGTCTCAGGTAAATTTCCCTTCATTTCGAACTTATAATACGATTGCTTATAATGAACGCTCAATGAGAATGTGGTTCAGATCGTGCTCTGGGTACGCGAAGTTACACTCGTGTGCTCAGGAATGTGTACGAAGGCCGTCTGTTGGGAATTGGTCCAACGCCAAATGCTGTGCAAGAGGTACGTATCAGTTTGAACATTTGAGAACATAAAAGTGAGTCAAGGTAGGTTTCGCAATTCAACTGTAAGATGAGACCATAGACGCTGTTGGTAGTTTTTACCAGAATTACT